GAATATTACTTGATAAATCTATTACTAATGTACTATGAATAGAGAAAAACTCATTTTTTCTTTTATTCGACCTTCTTAACATAAAATTCTAGTTCCTTTCCTTCAAGAATGTAACCATCGGCTCTGCCAGATTGTCCTGGTCTTGATGTGATTCTGACTAGAAGTCTTTGATTTTAGAATTATTCAGCAACTAAATTATCAATAACTCTATCCTTCAATCTGGCTTCTAGTTTCTTTTTTAATGAGTTTGATTTCTTGACTTCTTAAGGTGCTGGTTAGTCCTAGGAGAGTAATTAAACAATTTTACCTTCTTTTGAGTCTTTTTGGCTCCCAAATCGATGTTGTATTTCTTTAAATAAAATTGTTTGAATGGTGTAGCATCGACTTACACAATGACACCTCTGGTGAGTGTTTTGGTTCTGACTAATTCATTATTTGATGGATGATAAACAACTTCGACAATCTTTGCTTTTTTTGCAACACCTTCACTAGCCCAAGAGAAGTTTCCATCGGATAAACGAAGAGCTCTGAATTTGAAGTTTCCTCCTCGGACTCTCAATCTTCTAACTCTCTTTTCGCCAGATACCAATTTAGTCATAGCAGCTTGTCTTCCTTTCTCGAAAGCTCTCTTCTTCTTATGGATTGGCATACGACCACCTGTGAGTCTTCTTTTGTGTCTGCTATCTCTTGAAATACCCATGAATAATAAAAAAAGATTTTATTTAATTTCAAATAACCACACATATACGCTTATTTAATATAATTATGAAACAGAATATGACACCCTCCTATTAGATAATGGATCGAATTGGTTTCATCAAGAATATGATATCCACTCATTAAAAAAAACTCATCACCGAACCTAAACGTAGTTCCTCCTATTTAGAAACCACTTAGACTGAAATTGTTAGACGAAGTAGAGATTCATTTCATAAATAATAAAGTCATTTGAATGAAACATCTGCATCTGATTATTTAAGTATACAAGAAAGTGCCAATGTCAGATTGTTAAGAGAGGAACTCAAAATAACCAAAGGTTTATTGGATAAGCGATCAATTGAGTTGAATCAATTATTGTAAGACAATCAAGGACTTAGATCAGATACGGTCTAATTGAAAGAAGAAAATGAAGAATTAAAACATCAATTAAAGAAGGTTGTAAGAGAGAAAGAAGATTATAGAGAAGAAT